ACAAGGCCCATTGAAAGCCCAGTAGCCCATGATATTTTAAAAAGCCCTTGGAGTGAAGTCTTATACCTTTGAACTGGGCCTAATTCCCAGGCCCATGATGATTTCTCCTTATTTCTTCTCCCAACTTCTTCGGCGCTTCATCAAGGAAATATTATACATGCGAATTATTAGTCCCTTAATTTTTAAATTTTGCATATTCTTTTATCTCTAAACTATTAAGTATTTTTTCTAGTTCCTTAACTTTAAAATATTAGTATGCACTTTTTTTTTTTTTTCGGTCTTTAGACAGTTAACTCAATCCAAAATGGCCCTTTCTGTTGGCGTGACAATGACAAAGTTCTTTTTATATGCATTTTTTTGATATTTACAATTAACATATCTCGTGTTAAGTTTTATAGGTCTCAAAATTAATTATTTTTCAAGTAATTTTAAGATTTTACACATTGACTTGATACATTTAAAAAAATAAATTTCTTGAGTTGCTAGTCCCAAGATTTAAATTTTTAACATGACTTACAAATTAAAACTTACTAATAAATTCAACCCTTAAGGGTTAACAAATTATTAAATTAGTTTATGTGCCCTCATATAATACCCAAAGATGTTTCTGGTGTGCCCCATGCCAACCTAATTAAGTGTCATTATACTAATAATTTTAAGAGTTCTTTAACCTATGTCTAAGGGTACAATTTAACAATGCAACTAATGCATTTTTTTGTCATAACCATAAGTTACACACAAAAAAAAAAATAATACTAATGACTAACTTTAATTTTATTTACTAAACTATTAAAAGTATTTACATGACATTAATGCTAAAATTAATGTAAACTTTAGTGTTTTCTTATATTATGATTTAATGAATAAATTTTGTCACATTTGATGCTGTTCGAACAGCTTGTGCTCTTTAGTTAATGCTATGTAAACAACTACGGCTTGATCTTTGGGCAAGGCAAGCCTATGGAATGAAGCAACAACACTGACCCGATGGTTTTGTTTAATTTGGGCCTTTGGGGCTCTTTCAGGGCTTGAAAGATTGAAGGTTTTATTTAGCTGGGGAATGAAAGTTGGTAGAAGGCTGTACTTGTATTGTGGCCACAACATTGTGGGTAACGTGTTGCTATCAAGCTTTAATGCTGAGATAGACAGATGGGATAAGGCTGCTGATTTCAGGGATGCAATGGTACGTAGAGGCTAGACTCAGGAAACTTCCAGCCTATAGTTTGATTGGCTCCATGTAAAAGGTCACTCTCGAGTAGAGGCGGCGAATTCACAATTAAACCCTGACTTAATTCATAAAAAGTGAGTTAAGATCAAGTAGGATTAGATCTGTCATCCATTTAAGTCAATTTAAACGAATTATGAACTAAACACAAGTTAACTTGTAGATTTATAGGTTAATTCGTTGGGCTTTTTTTTTTTTTTGAACATTTTTGACATGGGAAGGGTCCGAAATCCGTCCAGGAGAGAGGAGAGAGTGCACCTGATTAATAGTTAATGTCATTGGACTTTTAAGGTGAAGTGCAATTCATTTGACTCTTTTGTTTTTAAAATTTTTTTAAAATATATTTTTATAAAGTAAATTTTAAAGATAAAATAATTTATAAATATAATTTTAAAAATTTTAATATGATAATGACCATTATTATTTATAAAACTTTTTTAAATGAGCTAATTATATTAATTTAAAATTCATAAATCAAGTATTGTATATCATATATGATTATTTGTAAAGAAGACAAAAAAAATTATATGAATC